GTTCACACACTTTTGTCAGATAGGTGTGGTCTCACACTTGCACAGCTCGCGCAACTATCAAATTGCAGGTTTTCTCGCAATTTCCGCACAGATTTTCAGTCATAGAACCGCATTTCACCCTGACCCTCCCTCCAAAACAAAGTCCCAACGGGGGTTCCGTAATGCGGCTCAAGAGGTCTCTTCAAGAGGAAGAAAAACGCCAGCAGGGGTAACAAGACAGATTGGCCGTCGCGTCATTCTTTTTTACAACTTTCGGGAGAAGTGACCGTTTTTTGGGTGCCGTCCTTTTTTACAGACAGTGTCGGTTCTTTTCATAGCGTTGACCTGTGGCCTAGAAATAAGGGAAAAAATGCCCCGTTCGCGACGAGTGCCGCACAACCCGATAGTGCTCACGCTTACGTTTGCGCCGCGCACTCAGCAGCGAAATCTTGCTAACAGTCAATCATCTTCCGCACACTGTAATCATACGTGCTGCATCACGGTTTTTTGCGAATGCAGCAGCAGCCATGCTGTTTTGACCATAAGCAGAAAACAGCCTGTAGTATGACTGCGATCGCATGACGTTTCTATGACGTCATTAATACCGAGGCATCTGTGAAATAGGCTCCAAATAAACCTTTCTCACTATTTTCTGGGGCATGTAACTCAGGAACAAGATCTCTTTAGGTCTTAAAAACGATATGACCGTGAACTGCATGGAAAGGTCCTCAAGGTGGCTTTTTCAGTTCAAAGCGTCATACAATGTGGACATCCCTTTCAGTATCTTCAAGTATGAAAATTTCCTAAAAAGGGCATAAATGAACGTTTAATGAGTGTTTGAATGGATGATCAAATGCTTCTTTATCTCAATGGGGACCCGCGTGAGCGAGCCCATTATGATTACCAAGGCGCTGGGAAGGGTACACGAAAGGCGGCAGGGGGTCCAACCCGTTTGCGCACCAGGTATGAGTGGTGGGAGGTGGGCGCCGGAAAATGGATAGGCTCGGAGCAAACACGGCGAGACACCGAATTTGTGTGGATTAGTCAAGGACGGGACGCTGCCAGCATTAGTATTTAGTGTAAGGCTCCCAGTTTAATTCACCGGTTGCCCCGGATTCGTGTGGTATTCAGTGGAGGCCTCCAGTGTGGCTCACATGTGTGCCTTGACGTCGTGTTTATCGGAGTCCATACGTGCAGATTGAACCATGGGATCTTCAAATAAGTCGTGTTCTCCAGGAGATGGAGTGTACGGAAGCCCCCCGCAGCGACATTAGAGAGACACCTCAACAAAAAAGCGCAAGCAGCGGCCGATTGTGTAGACGAACAACAGCGGCAGGGGGAACGCCGCGCACGGACAACAGATCCCCTCACACACGTCGTCATAGGATTATCGCCGAATTCATGGCGCCTGGAAAGCCTGAGCACTCAAAGCCGCCCATGACGCGACAGCCTTCAGCTCCTTCACTCCAGCCAGTACTGTTTCTAAAATGATCACTGCCCACGCGTCACTTCGCCATCCTTAGAGGTTTGTGCACAGAAGTGGAAGTCTCATGTCCTCAGGCTTCGCTGCCTTTCTGTTCCAGTGTGAGATATCATGCTACGGCTATGGCACGCTGCACCGTTCTGTCGTCTGTTCAGCGCTCGCCGTTTATAACGCTGCACGAACAAACGGTACAATATGCACTGACGTTTAACATTTGCGTCTAGGCTGAATGAAAGCTGAGTGCCGTCGCTTCGACGCGGCCTTGGTCATATGGTAGTATTCTGCCGGGATTGTAGTCATCTCCCGATAGCCTGCCGTTTGTGTGGTCAGAAGTGGTTAGTTTAGGTCATTTTGACTATTTGCGGCCCGTCTGACCAGACTGTCACCTGTGGTCAGTCTGACCAGACTGCCGCCTGCGATCAGTCTTATCAGACCGCCGGATCTGCAGTCATTCTGACTAGACCGTCGGCGTCTGTGGTCAGCCTGACCAGGCTGTTGGCGTCTGTGGTCAGCCTGACCAGGCTGTCGGCGTCTGTGGTCAGCCTGACCAGGCTGTCGGCATCTGTGGTCAGCTGAGTCCGGTCTGTTATAGCTGTGCTGAGACGTGGCCAGTTGAGACGAATGTTCTCAGCAATTGTCAGAGTGACTTAACATTTGGCGTGGTCTGCTCAGATGAATGCAGTCAGTTGTGGTTAGTCGGGCTTGACTGTGAGCAGATGTGGTCAAGTTGGCGTAGCATACCTTCGCTCATTTTAAAGTTATTTGGATGGGGTCCGAGGACCAAAGCCGGGAGAAAGGCTCCATCTCTTGACTTCCAAAGCAATATCTAAGTCTGTTTATCAAAAGGAAGTTCGTGTTGGACCACGTCTTGCAATATGAAGTAACAGGAGGCTATACCCGTTGAGTTTTTGAAACTCGTCTGCTTATTTTCGGAATTTGACCCCCTACTCACAAGGCGACATTCTGAATCTGCGTTCGATGGGATTATAGCTGCTTTGACACCCAGTTACAGACGTTGCCTTGCACAGGCGCCGCTCGTTGGGATTTGTGCAGACGTTTGGATGGGAATACTGCCAGGGAGAGGGAGAGAAATTGGGGTTATTGGTGAGTTAAAGCTTTGGATGAGTATAGGGGCCGGAATGCATGGTAAAATGACCGTTATGAGATGAACGTTGTGTCGCTGCATCTCCTCTCACGGCTCAAAAATACTAGTCAGAGCGTTTTCAATGTATTTTTGTTAGCGCCAGATATGTATAGTCGTACTATCCTACCTCCATGCTCGCAAACACTGGTCATCACACGATGAGCCTTCCGAAAATGTGGCGTGCATGCCCGCGCCCCGAAGAGCACAGTCGCTTCGACATGCCCATGGGAGCCACCTGCCGTTGCAAAGCTATGGTGGTTAGTCTATGACATAGCACAGTCTCATTGGCAGGACTTACCCCAGCACCTCGCAATTATATCTCTTTAGGCAACATTCCGGATACACGGCGAAACGGCTGACCGGGACATCGGTGCATGAGCTGTCGGGTTTGGGGGCCACCCTGCCGCATCTGAAATACAAAAGACGCCACGTGTCACCCACTCATCGCAAAGATATGCTGTATGAACTCCTTCGATCCATTCCTTCTACACAATATATGGTTTGCATTCCACTTCCATCGTGCCCTTGTGGTGTGAAGCCCCCAAAAATTGTCGTTAGGGTCAACACAAACATTCAAAACTTTTGGACTGCTCTTTGCAAGCACCGTGTAGCTCCGATGCTTAAATGTTGAAACTGTTGGTGCCCGGGCTCCCAAATCACAAGGGTGCCCATGCGCTCTCATCACTTGCATGTTTATGCGTTATGTACGTGAGGCGCAGGCCCAACGACACTGCACGGCACGGCACGGCGCGGGGTGATCTCTGTAGGCGCGGCGTGGCGGACGGACCAGCGAAGGACAGAGCACAGTTGGAATGACACTGAACTTTCCTGTCCTCTGATCTGTCTATTTACTTTACCTATCGTGCATGTTCTGATCTCCTTCCTCCCCCTCCTTTTCTCCACTCTCTGTTTGTGACCTCTAAACTCTGACCTCTCCTCTGAATGAAACAATCCACTCCTGCCCTACCCTGCCGGCTGGCATGCACTATCCTTCCCCTTGCGCTCTCCTTTGTCCTGCTCCGCACTCCCACCGGGTCTCTGTCCTGCTCTGTCCTCCGTTTCGCCTTGTTCTTTGTTTTGAACCGTGTTCATGCTGTGCTCGGTTGTTCCCATCATGCCGGTGCGTGGCAACGCACTGTTGCTGCAGCGGCAGCAGACGACCTCAGAGACAGGCAGACTCTGGTAAAATTTGGCTCAAAATGACCGTTCGTTACAGATTTGTGGCGGGTCTATGCAACATTGCAGGGAACCACAACATACTTACGTCTGGTATGTTAAAGAAAGTTCGCCATTATCCATGCCGCAATGATATGCCGCGCACTCTTTTAAGTACTTCGTGGCCCCAACTGGCAAGTAGCTCTGGAAGTCTTCAAGGTAGCACTCGTCTTCGTGTCCTGGGCCGGGAATAGATTGTCAGCTCGTAGTTTCATAGTCGCCGTGATGTGCACCGCCTGTGCAGGACAGTGCAAACCCGCTCTCACTGGCATTACCAGTCACCACTCACCAGTAATACAATCAATTACCAGTCACCACTCAGCACCAATACAATCAATTACCGATCACCACTCACCAGCAATGCAGTCAAGAACCAATCACCACTCACCAGCAACACAATGAATTACCAATCATCACACACCAACAATACAACCAAATACGAATCATCGCTCGCCAGCAATACAATCAATTGCCAGTTACCACTCACCAGCAATACAATCAATTACCAGTCACCACTCAGCACCAATACAATCAATTACTAATCACCATTCACCAGCAATGCAATCAAGTACCAATCACCACTCACCAGCAATACAATCAATTACCAATCACCAGCAATACCAGCGCGATCGAGGCCGTCAGTCAGCGAGCTTGACGGAGCGTAACAAAAGTGGAACAAGGGGAAAGGGCGAGTTGGACAGCGCAATATTACGCTCCCGTTTGGTTACTTATATCACTAACAAAAAAAAGAAAGAAGGAAACGTTAAACAAACTGAAATTGTGTTTAATATTTATCAGTGAAGCCAGGGAGAGGGAATTTCGGACTGATGTTAGATCCTGTTCCCAGTTTTGTGAAAAAGGAAACGACGTACGGGGAACATCACTTGATTGTGAGTTGGAGGTAGCTCGGTGCACTGGGGCTCAAGGGCACTGGTGGTCTTCTGTTCAAACAAATCCAAAGAAGCGCTCGAGAGCACCCACCGAAGTCACTTGCGATGTGGAAATTCACCGACAGTGGAATGAAGTCACGAAAATGGCGCAACACCATCTTGAAAAGTCACTGGGGAAGATCCTTAGGTGATTTACGTAGATGCATTGGCACGCAAGGGACGGAAAGACGTTGAACACCCAGGCATCACACAGCACGATCAGGCTCGCCAGCGCCAGCGCCCAACAGTATATATTACTTATTACATGTTATTACATGTTTTAAATACAAAGGCCTCTCCACCATAAACCGTAACTAGTCAAGTTTATTCTGCGTGCTTCATGTTTGCAATGGCTTAATCCAACAAACAAAAGCCTCAGTTTTCCATAGGGGGCGGGGGAGGAGGGCGGGCGCGAACAAAGCAAAATCAAGAAGTGGCTGGAGCGCAAGCCAGGGGGAGCCACTCTCCAAGTGGACACAAAAGCTGCAATCATTGGTCAACTTTCACAACTTCCCACATCGCTGAAGCATTTACACTGGGTGCCCCTTCTTCAGTCTGCCGTCGGCCGATGCGGCACATATAATAGAATGATAAGGTAGTAATAATACCAATAAGATGCGGTGCATGCGTGTCACAATGTCGGGCTCGCGCTCAGGCGTTTATACGGCGTGCGGAGTCGGCACTAAACCAGCAGGGCACTGGTTGGCTCAATAGTGCTTTGAAAACGACGGTGAATTCATCCAGGGCCGTCTCACCTGGGTGGGTAACAAGTGACGCTGGATAAGATGCTTCAGCACGTGCCACACGTGTTGCCGCCTGGCAGTAGGACACTAGCACAATCGTCAAAGCCAGAGCTGAGAGGCGGTGCATGATGTGATGGAGCGGTTCCTGTGAAGGATGCAACACAGCGCGACGTGCCAGCAGTTGCACAGAGCGATGAGGCCACTTCGCGGCCCGCGCCAGGTACCAGACTTCGCCAGGCACCGCCAGGTATTTATACATGCACGGCAACGGGCTGATGCAACCATGACCGGTTTCTTTTGCGGAGCTTCAGCGTCCCTTTACTGTTATGAATGTATGCCTCGAAAGTTTCAGAAAAAGATGGATCCTAAGGTAATAATGCATCTAAAAATTATATCGGTGACCAATCCCATAACCATTGCATTGGCTCCCACATCGGAATACGAATAACTACGTTCTGCCACTGAGTTTTTTTTGGGAATGCCTGTCTCACATTAATATACCACAGTTCACTCGGACTGCAATGGAGCAAGCTAGTGTGTAAAATGTGTGTGGTGGGCCCTGTGTGTGGTGTGAGAGCAATATGTATAAACATTACAAAGCCGTTAGAGTTGTCTTCTCCACTTGTGTGTCGGGCTGACGCATAGACTTCACGCACCAAACCGGTTGGATCTCTCAATCGACGGAGAGTAAACAGCGCCCATCTTCTGCGCATCGCTGGCAACACTCTCTTCATATCTGCAAGTTGAAACCACCGCGACGTCACTTAAGGCGTAATGACAAACGCCGCATAACCATCATGTTTCCAGCTCTCAACTCCGTACGCGTACACCCGCATTCCTTCACCCGTGCTCATTACCTCTACCCCTAGCCCAGCTCCCCCGTGACTGCGATCGTGCCATACGTTGACCTGATCTGGAAACAGTCAGCACCAATCCGTTTGTAATTCGTTTGTGATTCGTTTGCTAAAGAAAAACCACTGCTCGCCGTTTAATGAGCGATTTGCTGCTGCTGAAGAACTGGTTAAACAACGTTAATAACCATCCATGTCTACTGTAAAAATTTGACGTTTTCAAGCAGTGCCCATGGTCAAATATTTCAAATAAAATAATTAACAATACAAGAATGCTACCACTCTGGAACCCACCACACAACATGCGTCGTTTCCATTCCTTGGCACCCTTTTGTAATGGAAGTAGATGGGAGAAACTTCACCGAACAGTACTTTATGCCCATGGCAGTCCCCCCGATAAGGCATTACGATTCAGCACACCCCATGGCCACTAATAAAACAGTCATTAATATGTCACAACTACGAAGCGCAACTCGTGCATCTTTGGATGCCCAGCCTTGTTAGCATGGTCCTGTCCGCTCTGTGTCCCTTCTTTTCGTAGGAACAGAAAACCGAAGCACCTTATTAAGTTGACGTCTTTACAAAAATTAGAGCGCAGTTTGCCCAATGAGTTTCTGTTGACTGATATATGGAGACAGCTACATTGGCGACGAGCAAAAATGTCAGCACGTCATAAAGTCAAATCGGCTAAGTGGCAGACTGCAACATGGTGACATGTAGCAAAAGCGAGACGTTTAAATAGCGATCTGCTACATGACAAACTATGAAACAGAGAAACACTTGGAGAAAGACTCCAGACCAAAATGTCAAACCACTGAAACCACTGAAAACCACTGAAAAAAGCACTGAAAACAACTGAAATAGACAATGGCGAAATGTAAAAAAGTCAATGTCCAGACTTGATAAGCGACTAGATAGTGCACTAGTTAATGGTCATATCGACCCACACGCTCATAGAACATGGTCTTTTTTATCGTCTTTTATAAATAGTGTATTAATCAACCGCACTCGAATATTGCACTCTGCTATAATTTAAAGTAATAGGGTCACTTTTAGAATTTCATCTGTCCAACTGCTAGGATCTTTCTGAAAGGCTGTCACAGTTGCAGCTGTCAGTGATAATCGCCTTTTTTGTAGAAAAAGGCTTGTAAAAAAAGAGGCTGAGACCCTTGACTTTTGAAGAAAAAATCAAAACGACTCTGTATAATCTGTAATGCCAATTTGTCCTTCTCGCCTGTCAAACTTGCAAATTCCCATTAAATGGCGTCATTTTTGTCAGGATCAAAACAAGACGTGGTCAGATCCCACGGCTGTATCACAGATGAGATGAATGAGATAAAGGTTAGAAACTGGGTGCTGGGACAGCCAGGGAGGTGTCGGTAGTGTAGATCGGGAGGCTGCTAATCGGTCCTCGATCCAATGCTTACGAACTTACAGAAACTCTGAGTAAATGTGAAACAATAGCAGGCTGATTTCCTTGGCGCGTCATCATAGTTGATTCCACGGATGTCGATTCGTATTCTGTTGTGAGGGCCCTGGCCCTCCCCCCAATGATGAGTTAGGTACCCCAATGTTTGCCTGCCCCCAATGTTTTTGGCTGGAATGCAGCGGGATGATGGTGAGCTCTTAGACCTATTCAAGGACCAAAAGGAAATTGGAGTAGGGTGTGTAATTCAGCCCGATGGCTTGGCCCCAAACCCGGTAGATAGATCCGTTAGTGTTGCCGGATGTTTGCCTCCCATAAAGACGTATGTTTCTAGTGTGTAGAGAGGAACCTATTGACACCAGAATTCTCCCTACCCTGGTAACAAAAAATCGTGGTTACTTTTACCACCAAATGCAATCCGTGACAGCTGAGCTGATAAGCGATGCAATAATCTTCACACGCCTGAGGTCATAAGACATGCAATGGTTTGTGAAGTTAAAGTGAAAAATCTCTGGAATACGGGCATGACCTAGGTTCTTCGTGGCTAGCCCTAATCCCCGTCCCCACAACCAAAACACGTGCCGCCTTCCATGATCGCCATAGAAGATGGCCTTCGGCGCCCTAAGGTGGCTTCCAAAGCGACGTCTTCACTTGCCGATCAGAATACGCGAGTGCGTCCAGTGGCCGCACCGTGGATCCACCATTGCGTAACCACTATGCTACTTCAGTTAACGCTTTTTGATAAACTATCCGTAATTTTTAAAAGAAATCTTGTCTTTCACAAGAAAGCGAGCTGAATCCGGCAAGAAAATATGGGGAGGGATAGGTTGTCGGGCCTTCGGTTGGCCCCGCCAATAATTTACAAAAATTGAGCCCCTGCTTGGTTCTATACTTACTGACGCTGGGAGTTACAACGACCCCATGCCGATGGCTCCCAAAGGTGAGTCAAAGGGACTTGTTGCGCCTATCGGGGTTCCCCGGGAACACGAAGGGTTTGATATCAATCCGAGATCACCAATACTGAACGCTGGGCTCTCAGCCGGCCTGGGTCCTGCGAGTTTATTTACAAAGCAAAGGCAAGGCCAGAGTACGCGATTGCTAGTGAAGGCCTCCTGTGATGGCCGGGACCCCTGAAACAAGGTGACTCCCACTGTGTCGAGGTTAGTGGAGGCATAGAGTCATTGGCATGGGAACCTGTGTCGGCAAAGGGCTCCTAGTCGACAAGGGAAG